TCCCGCTGCTAATCTCTCCTACATCATTATTGCTCGCCACCTCTATTTCTCTTTCCTCTTAATTGAAACAACCAACTTGTGTCCCGAGCGCTCATGTGACCTAATGCAGTTGGGAACGCCGTAAAACCATTACCACACAGATCTCCCCCCCCCTTCTTTAAATGCTTCCTCCTCCTCTCCCCCCCCCAACTCTCCCTTTCTCTTTCTCTCTCCCTCCTTTTCCCTGTCCTCTCCCATCTTCCTTGCCTTCTTTTCCACCCTCATAACTCTTCTCCCCCCCCCCCTTTGTCTGTAAGAGAAGCAGACACACTGGGGCCATGTTCTTCATGGGCAGACCTGGTAAGAGAGTCGAGACAAGACAATAGTAAAGGTAGACCATAGCATTGTATTATAATATGTGTGAGCCTGGAGAAAGGTCCCCGTTGTCGGCAAAGCTATTTTTGAGCATGGGGTGAAAAGGCCTAAAAAGTCGTACCTTGTCAAAAAAAACAGTTCTATCAGAAAACACACGTTTGGCCATTTCTTAATAACATTATATTCAAAGAATTTTATAAATGTAATATTCTAAGTCTAGACATTTTTATGAGTTCTTTCTGCTGCATGTTGTACTTCACCAACGGTAATAAATGGGTTAGAAAATGGGTTTTTCTCCAAACGTTGTTTTTACACCCTGTGTTACAAAAAATAGCATATATTTAATAGTACTCAAGATGCTTGAAAAATTAAATCATCAGCATGGTCAGCATTGAATTTGCTACAAGGGCATGTCCTTATTTTACTATCCAAAATTCCCGACAACCGGCTGGCACACTCTCAAATGGTCGCTTCTAAACCCAAGGGGGCTATCCCGAAAAATGGTGTTTTGAGAAAATCGAAGGTAAAGTTTTTGCCCCTTGAGCTGTTTCTTAAAAAAACAGGGACAGTTTTCTCAATAACCAAACAAATATACGCACCAATGAAACCAAGCTTCTCCTGTAGGTAGGGCAATGCTCACTTTTGATGTAGGTCAAGATTTCTGGAAACCCCCGAAATCTGGGTTAGCCCACGTATCCTTGAAATCGACCAATATCCTAGAGCGTGCTTTCTGACAACGTAATGACGGTTCACTATGCCGGGTACCATTGAAGTCAATAAAACCATGTCTCCTACCAGACAATTTCTTATCTATCTGTCTATTAAATTGTATTTTTTTTAAAACAACCAACTCCTAAATTTTAGCGGACCCGTAGACTTTGGTAAAAGCATTGACCACCAAAACCAGCCCACGATACTCGCTCTATGCCTTTGATTAAATCTTGGCAAATAGCTGTCTTGAAATTGGGTTGGGGGGAGGGACTCCTTCACCTTTCGGCAGATAATTATTAATTGTGCACGTGTGCATACGTATATAATACACGTAATATTATGTTTATATTATGCAATTGTCTCACACATTCACACACACACACAAACACACACACACACACACACATACTCACACACATACACGCACATACTCACACACATGCATACACACGCGCACACACACATACAAACATATATACATACGCACATACACACAACACAGTATAAGAAATAGTATACAGATACTCGTATATTATAATATGCATTGTACATTTTATATATTATATGCAATATACAAATATGATCCAATATACATATTAATAAACAATATTTGAGCATATTTTATACGGTTATGTATGTATGTGTGTATGTGTGTATGTGTGTATGTGTGTATGTGTGTATGTGTGTGTGTGTGTGTGTGTGTGTGTGTGTGTGTATGTATGTATGTATGTGTGTATGTATGGATGGATGTATGGTATGTATGTATGTATGTATGTACGTATGTATGTATAAATAAGTGAATATATCTATTTATTTACAGGAATATGTATTCATGTAATGATCTT